TCTTCCTTCACATCTCCGTGAAATCATCGATTTCATTACGATCTCCAAACTCTTAAATCTTGGCGGGGAATACAGGAAAAGGAGGAGAAATTACGAGGGTGTATAAAAATAAGAGATGGTCGCGCGAGGAAATGGGCGGGAAAGAATTTTGGATGTGGTGGACGGGCGTTGGCGCGCGGCAAACTTCCCTCCCAGTTTCCTCGAGGAGAGACACAGTGGCGAAGTTTGGTCGTCTATCTGAAAATCAGCCTTATGTATGTTCGCCTCGGTCTCAAGACACCCCTTCTAACGGTTCATGCTTATTGAGCAATTCCCCGACATGAATGCAGACACGAGATCCCAGAGCGCAATGCCTTGCATCGCTTTCACGTTCCCCCCGCTCTCATCGAGCTCGTGCATCGCGAGCCCACCCAATTACTAGGATACAGATCGTTAGTGATTTCCAAAGAGATTCCCGCGCACAATGCGAGCCCGGCCTCGAAACTTCTCTCCCTTTTCGACCCGGAAAATTCTCCTTTTTTTCCTCTCTCTTCCTCCTCTTCTACACAAATCGCGCGTCTACACACATCTCTGCAACGAGAAGTTCCAACCAACACCGTTTATAAATAAAATAAAAACGCGATGGAACGGGGAGGGGGAAAAATGTTGTGTGTGTGTGTGTATGGAAAATACGAAGCGTAAAAGCCGCTGTAACCGGCGGAGAAACCAGTTACATAAAAAAAGAAAGAAAGAAAGAAAGAAAGGAACCGATATAAACGTCATGGAAATGATCGCGCGAAATCCGATCAAAAAGCTCGATCGGATACTCGCTTTGATCCCCTTCCCCGCAACGTAATGATGCTGCCTGTGTGCACACCTTTATGAAACTTTTGTCCCCGCGGAAAACGAGGAATATCGTGAACCCCCGACCAATAAGCTATAACGCACCGGCTTATAAACGAACTCTGTGTGTATCCCTCTCCGTGCATCCTCGGTTGGAAAATATCCGATTCGATCCATATTAATGATCCCCCGAGTTTCCTCCCGTTTCCACGGGACACGAGTTATCGTTCCAACTTGCCCGCCGTTCTTCCTCACCCGAATATACCGAATATACCGCCGAATCCGCGAGTCTGGATTTTCGAATAACATCTTGTCTTAATGTACACGTATAATTTCCAGCCCAGCGATGGAAAGAACTCGCGATACCTCAGTGAGTAATTGTTATTTTCTTGCCTTTAAATCGCAACCGAAAGGGAAGATTATTATTCATGAACCGAACAAACTATCGTATTGTCCGTAACAACCCGCCACCAGCTCGCCCGCACGACCGCCCGCCCCGCCGTTTCGTTCGCTTCCGTCCGCGTTTTGTGTTCGTGTAACCTCTCGTTAAAATAAATTCATTCGACGCGTTCTCTCTTAACCAACATTTATAGGACGGGGAATAACGCGATACGAGCAGACGTATCTGGCAAATATCGTCGCAATTTCTCGCGATATTTTCATCGGAATTCGCGTGGGGAAAAGAGGGAACGGAAGAGGGAGAGTGGCCAATCCGACCGGTTCGATATAATTAGATTTACATCGCGTTTCGTTTCAACCGAATCTAAATATTATTATAAATTACGTGGTCCAGAAACGTGCGACCGCAAGCCTCTCGAGATCTTATTTCCGATCAAGTTTAACCCCTTCTTTTTTTTCACGGTTAGCTAACACGGTGGATAAAGGAAAAAAGAAAGGAAGAGAAAGAGGGATTGGAACGAGTCTCGTTCAACTTTCGACCGGTGCAATCGGGATAAAAGGTTCAAAGAGCGGCAAATGCTGTCACGTGGGGGGGTGGAATGCGGATTATCAAGCTACCGTTTAACCAAAATACCCATTACTGTAATACAGGCTTGTAACGAAATGGCAGGAGTAGAGATAGCGGAACGGAGGGATAAAGGAGAAAGACCTTGGATCGCGCGCATTACTTAGCATTAATGAGAGGTTTTAATAATAACACGGAGGGGGAAAAAAGGGGGAAAAAAGAACGATACCGAAATCGATGCAATTAATTGAAATTGATCGAAAAATACGAAATTCCGTTCCAAACCTGAACCGACGTAGGAATTTATACGAGAAACATACTTTACATACACGCGTCGCTCGATTTTCACGCTATTAATTAAAGAGACAAGAATATACGAGGTTGAAATAGCTGCGGTATTATTAAGTTTCGAGACGATCTGTTTACCTGTTTGTAAAAGCACCGGGTACAATGCACGCACGCAGTCAGAAATGACATCGGATGCGCATTGAAGAAGCCGTTATTTCACAATGAATCACAGAGACAAAGAAACTTGGAAAATCGAATCGCATGTAGGTAAATTCCTGCGCGTTTAAATACTTGTCCTTATTTCCACGTCGAGTCCTTCGTGGAACACGATTCCTTTTACACAGAGAGACACGTTGCATATTTTAACGCGTAACTTTGATCTTGCGGAACTTCGCTCATCGATGTATCCACTCCCTTTCTTCTCTCTATTCGCCGGCTACGTAAGAGAGATTTCGTATCGTATACATATATATATATATATATATATATAAGGGACGGCAATCTCGAAGGGATAAGTCGAAACGTACATAGACTTCTTTCAGTTCGAAGATGTCGCATTCAATTAGAAGACAAGGTTCTCGCAAAATTGCAAAAGACTTTGCACGAGATCCAGGGCGATGCACGACGAGCACAGCGATACGGCCAGTTTCATTATCTTCTTTCCCTCTTCCCATTCCCTTCCTTCCCTTCTTTCACCATTTTTCCTCCTTCTCCATTTCTACCCGCTTTCCTCCGTACCTTTCTTTTCCTCCTTCTTCTACTCGCCCGACCACGCAATGAAATTTTATACGAGCGGACCACCGAGCACGTAGCGACAATAGAAGTAGCGTGCGAATTGTTCGACGTCGACCTTCCTATTGATTTCCACCTGCGTCGATTTAACTCGACCTCGGTATTCATCCCCCTCCTCTCATCCCCCATAACCTTCTCTTTTCCCCTTTCCAACCGGTTTATCCCCTATTCTCGCTCCATACCCGATAGTCCGTGCTCGACCACCCAATTATTGCGTAACTCGGCCATCGTGAGCGCATACGGAGACAAATAACGCGGTAATAAGTTCGCGAATATTGCGAAAACGCGGTAGAAATTCTTCCCGTTTTTCCCTTTTTCTCCTCTCCTCGTTCGACGTCATCCGAGCGAAACAGTTTTTTCGAATCGCGACAATGCTCTCGTTGCGCGTGTACAGAAACGACACTCGGCATCTCGTATTATAAGATTGGACGTGAAAACGAATTCAGCCTGCCGAACTTTTCGCTCCGATTTGTCGTTCCGCGGGAATAACGACGGCATTAACGGTCGTGCACTCGTTGTCGTCCTCCCTCCCTTCACTTGCGCAACGAAAAAAAGTCACGGGAACGTTGCACTTTTTCCACTTTTTTTTACACTTTCGAAATCACGAATCCGTCGAATAGTTGGCGCGTATCGCGTAACGTGTGCCGACCGATGCCAACACGACCGACTCTCGAACGAAACTAATTGCGCACGACGCGAAAAGTGTTTATGTTATTGAAACGTAATAACAGAAGCGGCGATAAAATTCCGGGAACGATCACATCGATGTACACATCGCTATTATTATAACGTAATATTATAACTTTCGTAATATTTACGATAATAAAGACCCTTTCTTCGCCTCCTCGAGAGACGCTTGCCACATTATGGAATTTTATTACGAGCCGCTAATTTGAATCGAGTGCGCTTGTCCTCCCCCCTTCCCCTCCCCCGCCTCCTTTTTTCTCTCTCTCTTTGTCACTCATACACTCGCTCGACGATTATAAAACAATTCACGATCTTCTTCTTCTTCCTCTTCTTCTTTTTCTTTTTCTTCTTCGAAGTGTTCAGTTTCGTTCGATCCCAAGTCTTTTTTTTTACACGAAGAATTTAGAGGAAAGTTGAAGATACTCGAATCGGTACTCGCATCGATTTCGAAGTCTTGTACCGCCCTCGAGTCTTAGTTTACAGGTAAACTAAAACTAACAAAGGATAGAATCGAGGAGGTTAACTTCGTCTAACGAAGGAAAACGCAAACATTTTATTTCAAAACTTTTCAAACTTGCCGAGTTAAAGAGACTAAATTTCCTCTCGGATTTGTCTTCTCTCTCGCTCGCCTCGATTCTCCGATTTTTTTCCTCCCCTTGTCGAAAAATTTCATTAAGGCAATCAGACTCATACTCGAGCCTTTTATTTTATACGGGCGGAATTCCCCGGGAAACGATAATAAAACATCCAGGTACATCTGCCTGTTTCATAGGATATAATTGAAAAGTATTATACATGTTGGACCCCGCGAAAACCACTCGTCCCTTAACAATATAATCGAGGAGAGGCGGGACACGAGTGAAAAGTTAAAAATCCCATGTTCTCTTCCACTCTCGAGATTTTAATTCCATTTCATTCGTCCCCGGTTCGCAAATAAACCTTTCAATTAGAAAGGTCTGTCCTTATTTCGATTAAAATCTTTCTTTTCCACCCATACTACACCCTCCTTTTATATGTATATATATATTCATAATCGTGATAATATAAGAGAGGATTAAAAGGATTCGCAGAAGAGTCTAGAACGAATGATGTCCCGTTGATCTAGCGATACGATGAATCTAAACGAGAGGCGTTTAATTCCTCGTACAAATCCGTGTACGAGGAAGAAGAGAGGCGACCATTCGTTCCTTCTTTTTCTTAAAAAAAAAAAAAAAATCCTACAGCATATACCACTTTTCCTCCGGACTATCACCGATCCCTTCCCCCCTTCCCCCATTTCCTTCGATTCCCCCAAAGACCAGCAGCCGTTCGGCTCTTACGTTGATATGATAATAACTTTTCTACGCTGTTGGGAGCCGGGATCGTGCGAAACCCGGGGGGAAGGGAAAGGTGGCTCGAGGTAATGCTTTTTCAAAAACTTTTTGAAGAATGTTCCCCGGAATCTCACCATTCCATCCCCGAGATTATGAACGACGCAAGGCAGGAGCGCGGTGGATCCAGATTGGGCGGAGATCACCGTCGAATTTTCCGTGCCGAAGCTCATCGGAAGCGTGGGGGGCAGGTCGATGTCCAATGGTTTCATGCTCGCCTCTAACGAATTCCCATTTGTCGCCACGATCTCCGCCGTGGCCGCTGTTGGATACTCTGGAAAAAAATAAAAGAATAAAAAATAGGCATCGAAGAAAAAGGAAAATTGGTGGTGGCACGTCGTTGGAAGGAAGGAAGGAAGGAAGGAAGGAAGGATGGATCGAACGTGGCTTCCTCGGCAACGAATCTACCTACCGCGAGCAGGGATTCTCGTTAAGAGGCTTTCCTCTGGACTTTACTTAACCCCTTCTCGCCCTACCCAATCGACCCTTTCAAATATTTATGCGCGCCTCGTTCCAATAGCCCTGGAGAATTTGTTGGAGCAAAGGATTGTTCTTTCCTCGTGTTTATTTGCCAACAACGAACCGAGTTGCGATAGGCGGGGTGTCGAATGGAAATGAAACGGGAGGGAAAAGAAAGCAGGGATGCGAAAACGCGATCGTGTATATGTGCCTCGATGCCACGAATTTTAAATGTTCGATAATACGGAATGGAACGTGGCCAAAGTTAACTTTCATATCGATCCTCGTATCTCTTCACACGACACGGTTCGTAATTTTAATACAAAGCGCTCTCGTCGAACGAGGTTGATCGAATTTTGTGAATTAAAACAAATGTTGATGAACGATAAGCGTAAGAAAATTTTCCTGCACCACGATCGATCGGATTAAAACGTAATTTTCACGCGAAATAATTTCAGGATTGGCGATAATTCTCGTCGACGAAATAACAGATAGGAAAACAAGGGGAAAGTTGGTGTCCTTTCTTAAAGGATAATACGATCCGCGAATCATTTTAATGATAATTTAAAGTTTCCACTCTTAGAAAGAGCGAGTAACCACGGACTTGCTGTTGCTCGGGTAAACTTTAGGAAACTTCATCTTCTCGAAAAGAAAAAGGTCCTCTTGTCAGCGAGGTCGCTTCCTTACGCTAGTGGCTCGTTGGCGGGTTTTCGTTCCTTCCACGGGTATATTATCCGAAATAAAAAAGCGAGAAACAAAAAAAAAAAAGAAAAACGAAAGAAAAGAAAAAGGAAAAAATTAAAGTTAGAGATTGCGGCAGAGTTTCACGTGTATATTAATTAGATTACTCCCTTTATACAGGCAGCAACTTAATACAAACAGGAAAACCTGCATAGCCTGTGGTAACACGCTCATGAATCTTTAACATACCTCGATGAATTTTTATAATATATCCCTCGCCTAGCGTAGAAGCAAATCAAAAATTGCAATTTTAATCGCGAAATCATCGAAATTAAAATACGCGAAACGGCCCTTTTACTTGAATATTTCTCGATCGTTTAACGTACGATTCCAAGAGCAATTACAAGAGATACGCGCGGACAAAATCTTAAGAGTTAGTAAAATTCTACTTTCGACCGAGTTAATTGTCCTTTCGGGAAAGAAGTCAGGTTTTCTTTTTTCAGAGAGAGAGAGAGAGAGAGAGAGAGAGAGAGAGAG